AGCTCCAAATATAGTAAAATACAGTACAGCTGTAAAGTGCATTACCTCATATTTTTCTGCATTTGCAGATAGCATTTAATCACTTGAATTGAAATAGGGTAATATTTTTAAAGTATCCTTTGAAATTGTAAAATTTTACTATGTTATAAGCCTTGGTATATGAGAGTTGGTGACTGAATTATGTTATAAAAATGGAACTGTAGCTATGTTTACAGTACATTTCAAAAAAAGATCATCGAGTGCAGATGTTTTAAATACTAGAATATTACCAATTGATTCTGATAATCCTACTATTTAATCTTTTAATTAAGCTTTAAATATATAATAAACAAAAACCTGAGTTATTTTAGGTATTTTTTTATTTGTACACATTTTTGTAAAGACTTTTTCATAGCAATGTTTTAGACTTACCTAGGGAATTCTGCAGATTCCCACTTCCCCTCCCCAGTATACACATATCATTATTCAGGAAGCTTAGATAACATTCTGTTGATCCCTGTCAAATAGTCAAAAGTATAGGATTTTGGAGTTATCGTGTTTGAAATTCTCTAACTCAAGTCACTAAGGATTCCATTTAAAAATAATCCCAAGACTTATTATTTTGCTTCATTTTTAATATCTTTTAGTGACAGCGATGAGGAAAAGAAAGCAAGAAGAGGCAGATCTCCCAAAGGTGAATTCAAAGATGAAGAGGAAACTGTGACGACAAAGCATATCCATATCACACAGGCCACAGAGACCACCACAACTAGACACAAGCGCACAGCAAATCCTTCCAAAACCATTGATCTTGGAGCAGCAGCACATTACACAGGAGACAAAGCAAGTCCAGATCAGAATGCTTCAACCCATCCACCTCAGTCTTCAGCTAAGGTGGGAATGGCAGGAGCTTACACATTACACATGGTTTATTCTAATAAACTACTTTTACAATTTCGACGTTAGTAGGCTTGGGCATTTCTAGGTAATCATATTAATTATAGATCATCTGGCATGTATTACTCAGAGTCATTAATAATAAGAAATTCTTTGGGGAAGAAACCTGTCCAATTGTAGAATGATTATGTACTTCATATGAAAGTAGAAATGACACTCTTGATTCATTTGGGGGAGGTTGTAAGTCAGAATATATAGTGTATGTGTTTTCATCTATTACCACCACTGGTTACCAAGCCTTGAACTAAAACATGGCAGAATTAAGAAGTGACAAAAGATGGATGAATAAGAAGATGAATACATAGGAGAAAGTCTCATTTAGCCTTGAGATGGTAACTATAAAGGGAAGCTTATTTACCTCACTGCCATCAGTACTGTAAGAAGCACTGTTTCTTGTACCTTCTTTTGTTTTTATTCACCACAAAAATAAAATCCACCTACTGGATAGCTGGCCACAAGGTAGTCTTTCATACAAAAATCAGCCAAAGGGGGAGATTTGCCCTGGACAATTAAATTATTTTTTTTGTCACTCTTCCCCATTACAGTTTTTCCATTTGTGTCTTCGAACTAGATGTAGCTAAAAGCTGAGGAAAACATTTTTCTAATGTTTTCTGCAAATTGTACGTGACTCAAAAAAACAAACAAACAAACAAAAAGCTAGGCATGTGTAATGGCAAGAACAAGAACTCTGACAGCTTTTGCCAGGTGTCTTCTGAACTGATGTATAATTTTCACCCATGTGGTGTTTTTTTTTTTTTTTAACTTTTGATAAAAACCTCAAAATTATAAGTTTACTTTGGTTGTAGTTAAAAAGGAAATGGCTCTGTTATTTTTTTTATGATCTTAGATTTCCCCTTCTGTAGATAAGTTATTGTTGTTAACTATATAGGATCTGGTAGGTGTTTATCATAGTTAAAACCCAAATACATGATGACTGTCATGGAAAACCCATCTGAGGTTACATGAGGAAAATCATTATTTAACAAAAAAATCAAGATTTTATCTTGAGTTTGTTTTTTGTTTTTTAACTTAGATCTACTTACCATTTTAAAATGTTCCTTTGATTTTTACTTTTGACTGTTGCTCTAGACTCTGGTATAAAGTAGCCTCTTTAGTGGACCCCAGCCTGAATCCCATTAATGTCTGGTTTTGGGGTCTTAAAGTATTTTAAATACCAGTTTATAGTATAGCCTGAATTTTTTTTTTTTTTTTTTGGCTCAGTACTGAGGATTGAACCCAGAACCTCATGCTTGCTTCTCTGTCCTCTGAACTACATCTCCAACCCTTGCCATGAATATTTTATGTTTGTAATATAAATTTTTGGGTTTTTTTTTTAACAATTAAAAAAATACAGAAAGCTGAAGTTCTTGAAGTTATTTCAATTTGGATCTCTTATATAAGTTTAAACACTATTTTGAACCACAGTGTAGTAATTTTAATCCTTAAAGCTCAAATTAATATGACTAGAAATTTACAGTGTTTCCCTGTTTTCTCACAATTCACTTCTAATTTAACATGTACATAATCATGTATGTATTGAATATAAGGAACATAGATATCAGGGCACTTGGCACTATGAAGAAGACAAGAATAGTACTAGAAGTCCAGCTTTTGTATTTTTATTTCAGGAACTAAATGTGAAAGAGTAAAATGGAAAGGTATATCACATAATTTAAAATTACACTAACTTGTGTGATATATAATCAGTTTTTAGAATTTCTTAGAATTTTAGCACTGGATAAGAATTTGCTCTTTCACCAGGTGGACATTGATTCTTAGAATTGGCTAAAGAAGCTTTATAAGACTTTATAGGCTAGCATTCCTCTAGGGACTAAAAGTATATTGTGATGGGACTCGAACATTTTTTTTCCTTCTTTCTTTGTGATTCTGAACTGAATACAATCTGAAATATGTTTATTTCCAGATTGCAATGCAATTAGAAAAGAAATGAGTATAGATGTCAGGGACTTCCACAGGACTAGAAGTAAAATTCCTTAAAGCTTACTGCCTCTGTAAGGACTCAGGTTAATACTTTTTTTTTTTTTTTTTCAGCAAAGGAAATCTGCCTTTACTTAGTTAAGGATGGTTTTTACAGGTGTTTGTGTTTAAAATTGTAATTAGAAATTGGTAGAAGTGGCTTTAGGGGGAAAAGTAGTAGAAATTTGTTTTCTGAGCACATAATCCTGTGTGTGTTTTCAGATTTCAGTGCCTAGCAGCAAGTCATCTGGTGACCTTGTTGATCTCTTCGATGGCACCAGCCAGTCAACAGGTAAGCTTCCACACAAGCCTTTTCTTTTTAGCAACCTTAGTTTTTTAAAAATGCTATATAAAAGATGGATTGAAAAATAAAATTTTTAATCGAATTTATTTTCCTTGTGCATTAATTGGGGATACTTGTTTAATTGGATAAAAGAGATACAGTATTTAAATATTTGGTAACTCCCTCCCCCTGCTTTTTTCTTTAGCATCTATGGCCTTTACTCTACTTTGAAACTATCATGTTGGTGTTTATCTTTTTGTATATGCATTTATTTCTCGAAGTTTGCTCTTAAAAGAAATATACTCAGTGTTATACCTTTTTCTAGTCCTCAGACATAAGTAGAACCTCTTTGTGGTAATTAGTAAATGTGAGTAAAATAGTATACTCAAATCACTGTAATACTTATATTTTAATGGCTCTATACACTTGATACAATGCTTTCTCCCTAAATAATAGTAAATGGTATTTTGAGATTTGGTATCCTTTTTGCAGTTTCCCAAGATAAAGATTTTAGAGGCTTTATAGTTCCCATTATTAATCTTTTAAGATTAACTTGGAGAAAAAAATATATTAAATCTGCTACTTAGATTTTTGTGTTTTTTTTAAATGAAAAAAGAAAATTACTAACAGCTTGGATATGCTTGGAGTTTAGATAAAGTCTTTTTATTCATTTATTCAGTAGGTATTTATTTAACGAGACACCAGTCTGGGCACTTATGAAAGAGAGTTCTTACCCTCTTGGAAAGGTCAAGTGAAGGAAGTGATCATTAATCAAGGAGACACAGATAGTTGCCTCATTGTAAACAGACTGAGTGCTCTGGAGGAAAGGGCATTGTGTGAATGTGTGTTTAACTGCCTGCCAAATGTTTTAAGAGTACTGTGGCAAAACAGTTTACCAAAATTTCCTTATAGATGGGATTCATGACTTCTTCAGTTTGATTTCCATTATATGCTACATTTTATTTAATTCCTGATAAATTGTTTCCAGGAAAATTGATAATATTATGTTATTGCTTTTGATGCTTATGGAATTTTAATAAACTATTGGGTTACAAGTCAAAACAGCTTAAGAAATAAAATTTCTTTTTAAAGAAAGTCTTTCCAAGCCTATTTAAAGTTCATTTTACATTAAAGTGTAGACCAACAAGATTGGAATATATCTAATGTACATAAACTAAATCTTTCATTCCCAGTTGTGTGTAATAACTTTTCAAAGCCAAATTGTTTAAAAACTTTTGCATTGGTTTTAAATTTATGATGGAAATTGTTTTTCATTAATGTATTGGTACACGTAATTAAGTTTCCTGTTATTTTCTCCTTCCTACTTGCTGTCATAAAACTTGAACTAGTATGAACTTAAAGGATTTGTGGTTCACCCTGGTTTCTGAGATCCTTCAGTTCCTTTTCCACTTTTTTTCTGTAACTGTTTCTAAAATTGTTCTTTAACCTTTATTAGACTGTAATGCAAGATTACAAACAACTGCATTACTTATTTTAGCAGTTTGTGATGTTTTTACATGTTCAAGATTTGAATTGTTTATTAACTGATAGTTGGCATGTAGTTATATAATATAGAAATAGTGTCACAGAATATCATTATTTTTAATTTTCTGGCATCCAATAATAAAGAGCCCCTTTCATGCATCTATGGTAAGTTTTAATGGGACAGTCAGAGAAGAATTAACTAGGACGGTCCAGTGAGTAGATGTAACTTTTTTTCTCCATGGTACCAAGATTTCTTTGAACAGAGAATTTTTAAATATCAGTATGCTTCTTTTGCTTGGCAAGAAATCTTTGAGTGGTTTTTCTCCTCTGATGCAAACAGTAGATTGACTAATTAAATAGAAGTAGCAATTATTAGTCAGTCGTACAGTAATTGAGACTTAAGTTTAAATGAAATCCATGGAAGGTTTCTTGCCTTATAAGTTTAATTTACTTTAATATCTCTAAAATGCAACTATATGTGAATTGACATCAGAGTATTTTTTAAAGTTATCTTCTATTTGAAACACTACATGTAACCAGTTTTTGCAGATCCCCTTCATTCAGTATATAAATTTAGTGATCTCATTTCTATTTATATATCTTAATAGTATATTTTAAATTGAATTCTGCAGTAAAAGGAAATTGGATATTAAATCTTTAGCACCTACATGAGAAAGTTTAAGAAATCTACCATATTAACATTGCTGTTTGGTATGTCATTTGGGTGTCATTTACCAGATGTGCCCATATTTATAATAGTACCATCATGCAAGTAATATGGGCACAAACTGTAAAGCTAAGCAGATATGGCATCTGTACCACTCATCAGATAAATATCTCCTTTGAGAAAATGCTCAGATTTTTTTTCTTTTTTAATGTGTTATTTCATCCTTATTGTTGGTATCTTCAAAAGTATATCCAGTAAAAATTATTGTAGAATATCTTACTAAATTTAAAAGAACATATGTGAACCCTAACCATCAAGATTTACTCAAGATGATCTTGATAAATGTCCCATTGTAGTGATGTTTGTTCTTTTAAAATCTGTACTTAAATGATGTTTTGGTGGCTCTTAAATATAGTTCATTTCTAAACA